GGCAGCTGCAAGATACCTCTGCCAAATGACTGAGAAATATGAAAAATCATTGACTCGTGCCTTTAGATATTCTGAAATCTCGAGAGCTTGACAGCACCATCAATTTTGTATTGACAGCAGCAGTCAGACAAAAGTTATTTGAGAAGTAAATTGAGGAGAAGAAAAACAATCCTTAATCCACTGTTATACAAATCCATACTGCCTGCAGAGGAGCCGGTGCTTAGGAGACTGTTTTAATAGCAGTACATTAACATCTTTGTTTGTCTTTCTCGAAGCTTGCAAAGCTTTTTTCTCCCCCTCTCAGAATCCGGCCTGTTTGACAACACATGTGTCAGATGGTCACATATCAAGCGCATAACTGACACCTATTGACAGCCCATGACACTGACAGCATCTCGGTGTGGAGTTGGCAGTGCCACTGAGCCCTTACCCGTATCAAGGTCACTGCTTCTGCTCTGGTTGGAGCTCTGCCCTCGGGCACATGCTGCCCCAGGAAGCTTCTGCCTGAGCACGTCACAAGCCGCAGCCGCTCTGCCCCGCTCCTTACATAAGATGGGAGTGAAGTTTCTACTATTAGAAACAGTTAGTGGCATGGCAAGCTGGGACGCTGCTGATCACAGCACGCAGCACAGGAATGGCTGCTAGCAGTGGGATTACAACCACAGCTATTTTAATTCGGGCAGCAGCATCAGGCAGGTCGAGATGTGCCAAGAGAAACAGTAGTTTGGAGGTCGTTTCTGTTTTTTGTTTTTAATCCCTATCAGTGGTGCCCTGGACAGCAGTGCTCCAGAAGAGAGCCAGAGGGGAGAGCATCACCCCCGGCTTGACAGACATCCACAGACAAGTCGGAAATTTCGGTAGGAGCCTGTGGAGGGCAGCGCTGTCTTGCTGGGGATAGCGCACAGAATAGCTCAAAGATGCCAGCTGCTAAGGTAATATTTTATTTATTACTTTTTTTTCTCCTTTGAACCTGGAATCTGCAGATGCCAAAGCTGCCATCCTACAAGCAGGGAGGATGCCCCATTTCTGCACCTGTCAGACCCATTTGCATACCCTTAGGATGTGGGCAGGTGCTGTTGCCCAGGCCATGCAGCTCTGACAAGGGAGGCTGGGGGAGGCAGGATGGAGCTGAGGTCAGCACCAAGCTTCTCCCCCCATGGAAAGATATGGCTTTGGAAACACATGTGGATTGGTTATTCCTCAGCCCACCTCCAGCACCTCACAAGCAGAAGCTGATCCCCTGCAGCCCACTACAGAGAAGCTGCTGTGCTCCACCAGAAAGATTGGCCATGAACAGAGATATCAGGCAAGGCAGAGCAGTGGAGGAGTGCCAAGGCTTGGGCTCTCCCTGGCCAGCCAAGCAGCATTGCAGTGTGGGGCAGGGGATCCTGCAGCTGGCAGAGCCATGGCTACACTGAGGGCTGCACATGCCAGAGCCCTCCATCTGGCATCTTTCCCAAATCATAAATTCTCTTAAAAAAAAAAAAAAAAATAGACTCCCATAAAATAAAATAAAAAATATCAGGCAGCATAATCTTAATTGTACATTCTGCTTTTCTCTTCACTCAAAAATAATGGAAATGGCATTAATACAGTGCTGCACTGAGCACGTACCCGCGCAGGGGCCAAGGGACTGCCTCTGCTTTTCGCGAGGCAGGGGCACAGCCTCTGGCAAGGCAGGGCTTAAGCAGTTGCAGAAGCAATGAACTTCTGCTGTTCCCTGCTGCTTGAGCGTGGGCAAAATAAAAGACCATAATATATGATGCAGTCAGCCAAGAAAGCAATATTGCTCTGCCATGTGCATGCTCTATACCGAGACGCGTCCAGGATCTCATTTCAAAATTCCCATAGGTGCCTCATTTAAACCATCAGCCATAACCTGCTTCTCATTTTCAATACCACTTGGTATTAGAGCTGCAGCGAACTGCTGGTGAGAGATTCTAATTCCTGCAAACAAGCCCCTGTAGGCTTGCAAGGAAAACAGAGAGTTCCCCTCTCAGTTGCCTGCTAGGTTCCCATCTGGCTGTTTTAACTCTGCTATTGCTTTTAAATGCGCCTGTTTCTGCACACGAGGCTTTCAGTTCTACCTCAAGAGACTCCAGGGTTCTCTTAGCATCAGATTTTGGCCAAAATGTAGAGACACAGATTGGGTCTTCTTAACAAAAAGGAAGATCGGGTTTCACATTACAGTATCTGAAAGATTAATTTCACTTACACGATCATTTTCCTGTGAACTACACTTCTTTCCATCTGGATTTTTCCATCATGGGGACAAAGAGCCATAGTGTGAAGCACTACCTGTGAGAAAAGAGCAAGGAGGGGAAAAGATGACTGCAGAGTAGCTCAATCAGAGAAAAGAGATGGAAAAACAGCATAGACAGCAGTTTAAAATGCTTCAGCAGGCCTATTTTTGTTTGTTTTTCATGTGAATTATATTCTGATCTCATGCTTTGGTATTGCGAACCACCTAATTTGCTGGGTTTTGTTTCAGTGAGTTCAGGACATTTGGCTGCAGGAGTTTTCAGGGTCATGTTACTGTTACCCAGTGTTTGCCTTATCATGGCAACCACAGGTCCACCCCAAAACAGCAGTCCTGCTGTTCCCGAGGCCACACCACCTCATGTCACTGAAAGACACCTGCCACTCCCCAGGCTGTCACTGCAGCCACCAGCAGAGCCTTGCCAGCTGGGAAGATGCAGGGGACGTGTGGTGGTAGGACAGGACCTGGGGCCCAGCTGCCGCCCTGTGATGGGCTCCTCTTGGGAATCAGGATAGTTCAGCTTCTGCAGCTTGGTTCTGGCCTTAGGAGGCATGGTAACACTACAGCAAAATGGCAGCAGGCCTTCCCCATGCCGCAGGAGTGAAAATGAAAGATGCAAGTTAGTGTGTGTGTTTAATTATACAAAATGTGTTTTCCTCAACCAGGAACATGCCACTTCATCTTGTTTTCATATTTTAAAGGATTTTATGCAATGGTAAACTCAAATTCCAAAACAGAAGTATTTTTTTAATAGAAAAAAAAGGAAATGGTCTTTTTCTTCCTTTTGAGATACTAAAATGAACTATATCAAATCCTCAACATCAGAGGGTTTCCTTTTTTCTTTTTTTTCCTTTTTGCTCAGAAGTTTGTTTTCTTAGGCTGGAATCTGCAAGTCCAACACAAATCTATTAAATGCTTTGGACAGTTCAAGTCAGTGGAAGCTGTGCATATTTTTTCCTTTGCCAGAAAAAATCTGCGTTAGAAAATGGCAACTTTTTTTTCCCTAGCATCTGAAGAAAAAACAAACAACAGAAAAATCCCTTGCAGACTGAAGTACTCAAGCATCAGGATAACATTAGCTGAGATACAAACCTCTGCAAGAAGCACAGCTGAGGTGTGGAGCCCGGAAGACCTGTCAGGGTGCACCCTGGTGCTCTGGATGCTTGGTGACTGATGGTTAACTTCAGAAGGGTTTCAAAGTGTTTGCCTCCTTGTCTTTTCCCCATGAAGCAAGGAGGTTAATCCGCCTGGATTGCCTCCAGAAACTCTATCCAGTCTCAAGTGTCTCTACTATATAGGGGGAAAAAAACCAGAAAGATAGAAACAAAGAATATAATGAGATGGCCTTAGGTACTTCCAGGCTGCAGCTCCAAAAGAGAAGCAATCCTCCCTGATTTGCATGGACTAGACCTCTGCAGAAGGTGTTAGTGACCTTGTAAGAGATTTTTCCACCCATCACAGAGGATCCTGCCTTCCTGCTATCTGTTTCCACCTAGAGGAGCTTCTCTGAGCCACATGGAGGGGGAAACATAGAGAAATGTGATCTGTGGCAGCACTTTTGCTAACTTTGCAGTATCTCAGAGTAGAAGGGGGCAGGGAGGAAACCCTGAGCTAAGTCCCTGGTCCTCAATTAAAAAATTCATATTACTTATCTCATTAGTCCAATCATCTGGTATAGTTATTTCCAAGTTTCTCCTGAAGGCCCCATGGAGTAATTCAGTTTCAAGGCCAGCACAGCAGGGAGAGAGTGGCGTGGCTGGGAGGAGCCATGCTGCGCGCTGACATGAGGAGCTCACTTCTCTGGAATTAGTCATGGGAAGCGAATCTTGCTAATGTGTTTCAGGGGAAGAGGTTTGCTGTATGAAAGGGAGCTCTGTTGCAAAACACCTTGCTGGCTGCAGTGGCTGGAGTCGCTTGCTGAATTCCATCATTACCAAAAGTTCTCAGCTCTAGCAGGCCAAGAGAACTACTGCAAAGTCAGGCACAAAACAAGAGGCTTGGCAATGTCATCTCTTTTTCTCTCTCCATTACCTTAACAAGCTGACACACTACAACAGAAGTTAAAAACAATGAGGGCTACAGCAACTGAAAGCGTAGGAACCATCTGCTTATCTGCACAGCTTCAGCTTTTTAGCACCTGCAATGACTGAGACTCATCCACCCTCCTTGAAAATTAATCCATGGCGTTCTGAATCTCCTGATGGAGAACCTCTGTTAGCCTTCTCTTGCTTTCCTTCTACTGCTTCAGTTTAACGTTCTGTGCTGGTGGAAGTACAAACAGATCACAATGATGCTGGCAGCAGCTCTTGAGCACAGGGCACAACTACTGTAAGGCAGTAAGATTGGTAAAGTAACACATAATACCTTTTGGGGGGGCTATTCATACTAATCTGTGCTGGGAGCGTAACTTAATCTTTTACAAAAGTTCTTGATATTCTGTGCCCTGAAAAAATGGTAGGCTTTTATCCATGTATTCCTTCTATACTTGCCTGAGTTACTCATATTTAGTTCTCTTCCTTCACCATGAAAGGTAAAACCAGTCAATGTTTTTCCATCTCTCCCATCACTTTTTACTGTGCTTTTTGTATTTAGCTTATCAAGTAGTTACCATAGGGAGACTTCCTTTATATTGGAATGCACAAAAAGTTGTAACTGCTCTTAACATTCATGAGGAGGAGGAGAAAGAGGGGAGCAAGAGAAGAAAGTCACAGGAATATATGTGGTGTGATCAATACTATGCCTTGCATCACTGTACTAATCTTCCCATAAGCATGTTTGCTCGTGTCCCACATCAACCTAAACTGTTTAAAATAAGGCACCCAGCTGTTAGGACAGTTGTTGGTAGTGCTTTAGGAGCAACGTCCATCTGGCTGATGCTGCGGTGGGGCAAGGGACAGACTAGATGAATTCTAAAGGTCTACCTGGGGCTTCCTAGAATTGCTGAGAAAATAAACCAAAACTCTAGATTGAGATATTCAGGTATTACAGTACAAGCTGACATCACATAACCTTTTGCAGCACAGGACACCTATCTCACAATGGGAACAAGTTCTCAGGTGGCTCCCACACTGACTATGGCTTTAATACAAACAAACAAACCTCATCAGTGTTCTCTGGAGGTAAGAATAGCAATTCCAAATAATGAGATCCTGGCAGGAGGAATGCTCTTGAAGTCTCAGAGAAGGACTTCCTTGAATGTCTTTGAACTCTTACTCTTGATGGCATTCTGCCTCCGTCTGGGCTGAGCCTCCTAGGTCTAAAACAGAAGCGTTGCAAAAGGGGCCCACATATTCCACTGCAGGATCTGTAAGGGAGCAAAGCAGTCCAAGATGGGATTTTTAACATGGCAACAAAGCCAGGACTTTCAGCTTTATAATTTTCCTAAATTCAGATGCTCTTTTTCTTTACATTGCAGGTAAGTGCCCTCTCCTTCAGATGAGAGAAATGGCCTCTCTCTGGAGGCAAAATAGCTATCATATTATTTATACAAAGTGGAACAGCTCCCAGAAGAGAGGCTGAGGCGGACAAGACACAAGCATACCAGTATAGATGAGGAATATTCACCTGAGATATAGGAAAAAATGGTTCAAATTTGCTGTTTCTATTTATATGCATATATGCATGTACACTTGTGTGTGTCTGTATAAATGCATCCTTATAAATGAAAGAACAATTACGCATACATGCATTTTGTTTATGTATGCACATACACTATGTGAATATATGTCCTATAGACATCCTAAGATTTCCACCTTGCCCCTAGAAGCCTTGTGAGCCAGTCCAATGGCTCGTTCTTTCAAAAACTTGCAGTTCTAGCTAACAAGAAGTGAGTGTGGGCAAACACTTCTGTACCTCTCCAGCATAAAATACTGGAGCTCTCCCGTATTACACTCATCAGCACTGCAGTAACAGCAGTAATACCTGCACCTATGAGGGTCAGTCAGCACTGTGCTGGAGTGGCTCAGGACATTTTTTTTCAACAGCCTAACTTGACAAGAAATTAAATCATATCGTCTTATGCTGCTGCTCTCTCAGGGGATGAATTACACGCCTGTAGAGTTGTCCTGCTCTCTGGATGCCTTCAGCAACACCTGCAGGCCCTACTTCACACACCAGTTATAATAATGTAATGCTGTTTGGAGGGTAATGAGAAGGACTGCTTCGTGGGGAATATTATTTCTGCATGAAATAATTCCTCTTAATTCATTTCAGAAAAGCTGTCTCTGATACAACCTGAGTGTGTGCAAGAGAGGAGCAAGATGCTTCACACCAGAGACAACTCCTTTCCGAGCAGCAGCGCAGGCGTCCCAGCATCCTATGAAACACCAGCACTAGCAGACCTCCAGCGACTGATTTGGTTCAGAGGAGGGTCTGATAACCATGTGGACCAAGTCTGGCCAAATATTTACCTGGGAGATGCGTAAGAACATATGGTCCTATTATTGAGATTATATTGGACTCCGGGAGGAGGAGGAAGGGAATTGGTGCACTGGGGACCAGTTATTGGGTGTGCAGGAATGTTTTTACAATACTACAATCAGCTTCCAAAACTGATAACACGAGGTGTTTAAATGTCATGGAAAATATGATAGACAAAAGGGTAATTTATAGTCTGCTTGAGGTTTTTTTTTTCCTGTATTCCATGAGCCACAGAGGATTTTGGAGACGTAAGAATTATCTGTATTCTTACCAAAAGTCTTTAAAAAACTCATCCTAAACTGGTGTCAACTGTGAGAAGCATTGTCTGCCATGGAAACTGCTGTCAGACAGCAGACGGGATCACAGTAGCACAGTAGCCCTCAGAGTCAAACACAGAGCTGGCAGGGTCAGGAGCCTGGTGGAGGGGGACCCAAATGAGTTATGCAGCACAGATTTTGGCATTCCAAATCCAAACTTGCTTTCAAAGACAGTAAGATTGAAAATGTAGAATAAGAATTTTCATGCAAATGCTTCATAATTTTGACCACTTCTATTTGGTGCTGTTTCCTTCTCTTTGGATTACTGCAGGTTATGTAGATCATCAGGCTGGCAGAGCAATACTTCATTACTATGATTCTACAATTTTTTTTTCCAGCTCCTCCTCCTCCTCCTTATGAATTCATCTGTAAAAGACCATTGTTTTGTGGAATAGCTTCAGTCCTAGTTTATGGCTGGAAAGGAGGAGAACTCAGCTGCTAAGCATGATGGACCAGGAATGAGGTGCTGCATCTGGGTGCATTCTTGCCCTTGCTGCTAATGTACGCTATGAGTGAGAGGTTAGCTGCAGAACTTTCTACACAAGTATTTGAAGGAAGATCTTGGCCAGTCTATGCAGCAAGCTATGTTCCAGGGGGTTAACTGCTGGGAGATGTGTTCACCTAACAGCATTTCACAGGCAAGCTTGTGCTCAGGTTGCTTCCTATACCACCACGTTGCATTTTTCATTTGCATAGGGCTGAGGACAATGTGCCATTGTAAGCGAGCTGCAATCCCTGCATCCTTCTCTAGAGGGAGCAGGCCCTAACGTTAAATGGCGATGTTTTAGCAGAAAGTTAGGCACGATGCCAATGTACCTTCCTGTCTTCCAACAGGTGGGCTGCTAGGAGTATAACTACTATTCAAAGCCTCAACATAACTCATATCCTTAATGCAGCGGATGGGCCATACAGCATCAACACAGGAGCCAAATATTACAAAGATCTGCAAATAGAGTACTTCGGAATAGAAGCATTTGATGATCCTTCCTTTGATTTAAGTATCTTCTTCTACGATGCTGCCAATTTCATAGGCAAAGCCTTAAACACCTCAGGAGGTAAGAGGGAGGCACCGTGAAGCTCTGGGAGGAAGTTTCAACACGAGCCAAATTGCTTCTTCATGTACTAGCAGCAAAGCTCAGGCTGAATGTAGCATTTGAGGACATGGGCATGGAGGAGGACAGAGAGGCTGGGAGGATGCTCCAGGCATGGCAGCGACCAGGCTGTGACCAGGCCTTATGGAGCCAGGCAGGACAGATGCACCAGGGGCCAACACCAGGAGTGGAGAATAAGGACAACATTATAGCACTGCAGGGCTTTTACTGTGCAGGAATTGCCTCCTGGCACAGTCTGAGGGCCTGCCCTTGCATCCCAGACAGGCTCCAGCCTGGGGACACTGGGTCTGCGTGGCATGACAGCTCTGCTCCCGCTCCCTGCTGGCACCTGCAAGTGCTGGCTGAAACGCTTCATGTGCCTAAATGCTTCACAACTGGAACCTGGGCCGGGTGTCCATTAAAGCTAGAGAAGCAGCACAAGTTAATGAACTAAGTCAAAAGCTATGAGTCTGACCCGCAGCCTGCTGAATTTTTGTCAGCAGAGTTTGGATTATGGCCTAGTTATCATAATTTCCATTTGTTCCAGAGTTTGCTCTGACTCCGACTGGCTGCGAGATCTTACTGCTTTGACTCAAAGTGCTTTATTAAATCCCTAGTTATAGCTCACACTGGGCTGCTGAGACACAGTAAATTATGAGACCATTTTTACAGTCAGACTGTCCTACAGAGTTTATGGAACTTGTCAATGATCACAGTCAGGGCTGGGCCAAAGTTTTCTGCCAAAACCATTTCTTTTTTCCACAGAAAATTACACTAATGAGTTTTGTCACAGAAAGCTTCTCCTTCAACAGAACACTTCAGCTATTTTAATCTGGAAACAAATACCTGAGAACCGAGAAGGTTTGGATCAGAACTGGGTTGGGAAGAGAACCCAGCCTAGGTTCCTCTGCCCCACTGCTCTGCATGGTGAAAGTTTTCCTATAGCATAATGGCCAGCAGATCCCCAGGGATCTGGACTTCATCAGCTGCAAAAGCATCCTGGAGTACACAGTAGACTCCATTTAAGTTGGCAACAATTTTTTGAAAAATATTCTAGTTTTTGAAATTTAATCTCCTACCTCAAACCAACCAACCCAATTTCCACAGCACTCTTTCCACGTTACATGAAAAAAAAAAAAAAAAGTCCACCATGCAATAGCTTCTGTCAGGGAAGGGCATTCATAACGTTCAATTTACAAAATTCAGTGCTTAGGTTCCTTCTCTCTAGAGCTAATAGAGCTTCAAGATAAGCTGTGTTAACTGCATTTTCAGATAAGCTATGTTAACTGCATTTTCTTTGATAACTATTGAGAGGCCCAAGCTAGATGCATGTGCTCAGTATGAAGTACCACCTTGCCTGAGATCTACAGCACAATCTCAGGCCATTCACGAATAAATAAGTATGCGCCAATCATCGTGGCTGTTCTGCCAGCTTGTTACTATTTGTCCTCCCTGCATTCCCTTCACTTCAGAAATTCCTCAGCCTGCTCACCTTGCTGCATCTCTTCCTTTTGCAGGTAAAGTGTTCATTCACTGTGCCATGGGGGTGAGCCGCTCTGCAACATTAGTGCTTGCCTTTTTGATGATCCATGAAAACATGACGCTCGTGGATGCTCTGAAAACGGTGGGTTCTCACAGAGACATCTGCCCAAACACAGGGTTCCTCAGCCAGCTGCGAGAACTGGACATTAAATTAAGCGAAGAGAGGAAAAGAACCAGAGAACCTGCTAGCAAAGCATTGTAAAACGGTATCACTAAAAGGGAGAGAACAAAACATTTCTTGAATTTCCTGGATCTCTTTGAAATGAATTGCATTTGCAAACTAAGGATATAGGTTTAAGATGCTCCAGATTGTATGTCGTTACTAAAAATACATTTTACCTGGCCTTCCCATTTTGCAAAGCCACCTTAGCTTACACTTACTGCTGGTTGTATATTATATCCTTCCCTCTCCACCTTAAAACATTGCTCTCTGTTGGTTTAAAAAAAAAAAAAAAAGATATCAGATTCCACTTCAGAAATAGCTGCATTTCAGCAACGAGTGAAGCTCATATCACTTTATGAAGTGTTAGGCCATTTGAGGTGAAAGATGCCATATTATTTATGCTACAATAATGCTTAGAAGTTTTCTTATGAATCAGCCGCCCCCCATCCCCTTAGCTCTCTGTATCCAAAATGGTTTGTATTTTGAGACCCGAATCTGACTCTGCTTAGTTCTTGCTTTTACAATTGGTGGAGCCTGTGAGCTGGGGGGTAAAGGGGCTGCTTAGAGGCAAAGCAGCTGGGGTACAGCACAAGCCACTCTTACAGAAACAGCTCCAAGTCTACACCGATTTCCTGTTGCTGGTTTGTCAGATTGCTTTGATTTTTTTTTCCTGATGAAAATATCTTTCTTCAAGAGGGCATTCAAATACTGTTCCTCTTTCCTAAGAAAATTCATCCAGGATGTGCTGTGTAACGTGCTTTTGAAAAGGAAGGTGGGTTCCCAGCTGAGGTTCCCAATAGCCTCATGGGCAGTGGGAGTGGGAGCATGAAGGCATTTGACAACAGAGCTCAATGGATCCCAAGTCTCTCTGGCAGTTCAACATTACAAAACTCATGATTTTCTTTCTCAAAAATAAGGCCATTAGCATTGCAACATCATGTTCTGGGGCATTTGCTTTTATGAGAAGACTCAAGTGAAAACTGAAGGGAGACAGGAATGGCAAGGGAAGTGCTGACAGACATCAGACTTTCATCTCTATGTCTCTGGGCCACCATAGCAGCACTCAATAGCTACTGTCATCTGATGGATCAGTGCTGCCTGGAAACTATGAGAGCCACATCTGGCTCTCAGCTCCCAGCAGACAAACACTCGCAGCACAAAGCCAGCTTGGGGATGGCAGCTGTTTGCATTCTTGCTACCACACTCCGGAATGCAGAGGCATGGATGCTGCCCACTGTGGTGAACCAGCTGCTCAAAAGCAGTAAAGCAACAAGGAAAAACACGCCTTGCCATTCCCAGTGCTGTTTGTAAGGCAGATTCCTGCTTCCATGAAGGGCTACTCAGCACCTTTTGTAATCGTCTTGGGCCATATCTACATCTGCTACGTAGACTGTGCAATGGGAGCAAGAGCTTGGAGCACGGAGCTTGGTGCTGAGGTCCTGTCTCACAGTGTGAGTACAGGGGGCTTTAGTTCCCTGCATAAAGAAACCTGCCTATGGACTGCAGGGCTGCTCTGCAGGGCAGCACAAGCACAGCACGTGGTCATCTTAAAAGCACGTTTTAGACCCAAATCGAAGGCAATATGCACATCTTCACTACCAATTAGCTTAGAATGGAAATAAATAAATAAATAAAAGGAATAAAAGGCTTCAATTTGCAGGACGAGCAGTAAATAAAGTAAAATGAAATAAAGGAAAATAACATAAAAACGGAAAGAGATCAGGATGCCCCAGGAATAAGAGCCTCCTCGGCCCAGCTCCCGTCCCCACGCACGCCCCGGCAGCGCAGCGCATCACGGCCGTGCCCCCGCTCCCCCCCGCAGCCACCAGGTGGCGGCCTCGGCGTGGCGTAGCGGGGCTCGGCAGCGGGCGGTACGCGGCCGCCCGCGGCTGCAGGCAGGCGGGCACCGAGCCCCCGCGGCAACGAGCCCCGGCCCCTGCCCGGCCGCTTTGTTCCGGCGGTGGAAAACCAGGGGGCGAAGTAGCGGCCGTGCAGCAGGAGCCGAGCCCTGCCCTGCGTGGGAGGCCCGGGCAGGAAAGCCCCGCGGTCGCGCTGCCCTGCCCGCCCTGCGCTGCCAACGCGCGGCGTTCGGCTCTGCCAGCTCGTTGCCTCCCTCCGGCTGATGCCTGTGGGTCCAAAGAGGGTGGGGGATGATGGTTTATAATTAACACAATTAAAAATAGACTTTGAATAAACCAAAGGCAGAGAAGCTGCTGTGTGACTGTTACGGCAGGAGGGAAGCTAGGGGCATTGCTCACACAAAGATAAGCTGAGGCACGGCCGCGCAGGAGCTTCGACCACCAGGCAAGTACCTTGAGCTTGTTTGCCAGCTTGCCAGCCCGCCACACACCCAGCAGCACGCCTCGGTCCTCGGCCCCGACAGCAGCGAGCGGGGAACAGGGGTGGGGTGAGACCGGGTCACTGCTGCTGGCCTTACACCCTGGGGCTTGTGACATGCTGGGTGGCTGTCCTGCTGGAGGCCCAGCATGAGAAACCAGCACCGGGTAAGATACTTAAATGCAGGGCTTTTTTCTTTTAGTCATAAACACCGGTCCAGCTTGTATTTAAATTTCTGGAAGATCTATCTAATAGCCATGAAGCGCTGTAGATGGATTTCCTAATGTGGTGCAGCTGATATCCACAAGAGTCTTCCTTGGGAAAGGAGAAACTGGCCAACTGGCTGCACTGGAGAAAATGTGGAACAGGCTATGAAGAAAGTGCTGCGCTGTTCAGAAACAAAACATGAGGGGAAAAAAAAAAAAAGAAAAAGAAAAAGATTAAGAAGTTTTTTGGGAGGGGAGGCAAGAGGGGGGACTTTCCGTGCTTCTTATTTTTTATATACTCTTAATATTTGGGGCTTCTATGAATAATTTGTAACTAGGATAGAATTTTCAGGCAGAAATGGGTTTTTTAATATCAACAGCCTTCCTCAGAACGCTTTTATTGAGGAAATATGGCTGTGGCAGCCATCAGGATTCCTGGAGTGAAAGAGTACAGAAGAGAAGACTGGGTTAAATTAATTCCTGCTAAATACCTACCAGCAGACTTGCTGTCTATATGGGGAGCTGGAGACAGAATTGTACCAGGGTAGAAAGGATACTGTGTCTATTTATAACTCTGCCTTCAACACCATAGGAATTCAAAGGAAAACTCCAACTCAGCACACAGTCTTCTCATCATCTGCTTCTGTCAAGATTAAATCGGGGCTGAGATCATTCTCTTCCTCTGCAAATCTCTGCAAGGAAGGATCTCTTCCTTTCTGCCTGTAAAGGACTGCTGTGGTACAAATCACATCAAAACTCATGTGCTCAGGGAGCCCTCACCCAGCTGAATGCCACCTCCTCCTCTGCAGTAGCCAGAGCAGGGCTGAAGAGCCTCACAAAACTCCACAGCAGGTTAGCAGTGAGGAACAAAGGTATTTTACCTGCTTCGCAGCCCTGCACCCCATGCTGTCCCTGACCTTTCTTTGCATAGCCTCTCTGGGGCAAACGGGAGTAGCAGAGCTCCCACACGCTCCCAGTGCCTGCTGACAGGAATGGGGAGAGGAACAGGGCGTTGGCATAGGGACATCACTCACTCATCCTGTCACTTACTGAGACAAGACCATTACCCATGCTGGCATGAGCCTGTCCTGCCACTGCAGAGCCACACATCCTGGGAAGGATTGAGCTCCGATAGATGTGTGGGGCACCTATCCCTCAGGAGAGATTATCCCTGATGATAGGAGCACAAATGAAAGCAGCCTTGAAAAAGACATTTGCAAAAACCTGACCACCACTCTAAAAATAAGGCAGGCTCCTGGAGTTTTTTAGCTCCACTCTTTTTTAGCATCATGGTGTCTCAGATCTTTCCTTCTCATCTTCCACCTTCCAGTTTTCTCTTTAATAAGAACTGCTCTTTCGTTCTTCTCAAAGAGCTATCTACTCCGTTCTCTCACTGCTCCTCTTTTGTAATTCTGTTATCAAGCTGTCTGCTAGGTGGGGAGCAGAAGGTGCAGGACGTGCTGCTGCCTTTGAGGTACAGGTAATTATTATGTGCATCTGTTATTGTGGTTGCTGCCGCAACAGGTGGAAAACATGCTGTTCCCTGATAGATTGCAGCACTCTGTGCTCCTACCTCGTCTTTTCTCTAAAGCCAGTCATGTGGTGTTCCTAAAATAATAAACACAGACTTACTGCTGCCACAAAAACCCCTGGTAAATATATTTTTATGGGAATGAAATATTAAAGGATTTGAACAGTTATTCACTGAAAGCAAAATATGAGCAGTAAGGTTGGGTAAAGATTCAAAGACTGGTTTGCTTCCTCTCCCTGGGGCACATCAAGGCTCTACTGCTTACAGTTTAGAGATGGATAGTGGGGAATTACTTAACCCAGAATGATGGAAACAATTCAGACTATAATAATATAGCACAAGAGTTTCTCACATTACATCTATTCCCCATACTGCTGGCTATATTCTGGCTTCAGATTCACATGCACAACTCTCATCGGATTCTGGAGAAACTGTATTTGAAGCCAAAATGCATTTCATTGTCTTTCTTAAATCTCTCTATGGTATAGTTGCTAAATCCTGAGCTCAAGGACTGGGGACAAAGTTTGTCTAAATGTTTCCCAGTGTCACTCTCTGAAAGACTCCCATCTGCTCTGCTTCATTTTGAATTTTGTCTTCCTACTTTCCTAAAAACACAAAGCAGAAACACACATTTCCTCTGCTCTGGTGAGCAGGAATCACCAAATTTCCCAGCAGGTTCTCTCACAACATACAATGGATCCAAGTATGTCTAAAAAAGCTACAAACCCTTTGTGTAGCACCAAGGGAGGAGACCAGAAATGTGGGCCAAGTTTCAGAGTGTTAGGAACACCTCCTAGCCCCCAAAGGGGCTCCATATCCTGTTTCCTCTCTCCCAAAAATTTCACCTGGCTTTGGGTTTCATTAAGAGAAATATACATCTCTCAAGCCCAGGCTCAAAGTCTTTGGTTCATGCTCCCTGCTGACACTGCAGAGACTGCAAGAGCCACAAAAGCTGAGTCTGACCTGGGGGCTTCAAATTTACTACAATAGCAGAGCAAATTAAATAGACAGCACATTAAGCGGGTTGGGAGATTGCTGTTGACCAACAAATCTTCATTAAGTTCCCGCACCAAGCTGTGCTGTGCCTCTGATGAAACTGATTATTGCATCTCCATCGTTTCAACTATTTCTCCACCAGGTTTAAAACGAATTCAAACTTATTTTTGGTCTAATTAGAGATAAA